AACTTGAAGGTAAACATGCCAAAGTCCTTTCCAAATCTCCTGGGATCAAAGTGAAATAAGCAATAGGTCATAGTGGGCTTCTAAAAAGTCATTCAGGACTCAGCACAGAGTCATTTAGGTTTGCACAAGGCCTAACAGACAAAAAAAAGTGTGTATACTTATAGAAGAATGGATGCACTTTCCTCATGTACCCAAATATGCATGTACCAAATTGAATTGGGTGGTTATAGACAAACTCTAAACTATGTAGAGAGGATCTTTTCTTATTAGAAAGATTTAAAAAGTTGTGTCCCACAGACATCTGAATTCATCCTTACAAAGGTATTGATCTTTCCAAGAAACATTAATGTTAGCTGGTGATGCTACAGCTTCAGTTCACTACAGCTGTCTTGTTTTTTACAAGAGATATCTTGTTTTTCACACCAAGTGCTGTATAAGTTAAATACTCTATCCAAAAGCTACTGATCCTTGGCGCCTGGGCTGGCCAGTAGTGTCTGCCCTGCACACAGAGGGAGTGTTTAGCCCTTGCAGAGTGGAAACCAAACTTCTCACACATAGCAGGAAGTTCAACAAATCCAAGCCAAGAAGTTATGTGGAATAGATCAATGCCCTTACTGTGACCCCCACTCTGTGACTTTGGTGCTGATTTCTTGTTCAGATTGTCCTTCTTGAAGGCTGTGCAAAAGTACATTTTTACAACCTACTGAAAGCAGTTCTTTATTTTCTGTGAAAGCTGAGGAGGAGGCAATGGGAGCACCATCTCTACATCACATGGAAACCCTGTGATCCCAGTACTTACTAAGATCAGGGTAGGGAACCTGGTCAGCTCCTTCCTTAGGCTAGGTTGGTCAGACCCACACAGCAACCTCCTGGGAGCATGATGCAAGCTTCCAGCAGTGTAGGCTTATTTAATGCTCCTTGGACTAAAAGAGGGACTGTCACTTTGCAGGAGGGTGCCCTGATGGGGGTTGCTATGCAGCACTTCCATGCTGAGTGGCTGCTCTGCACAAATTTCTGCCACGTCATTCTTCAAGGAGGCTGCTACAGCAGTGTTTGTCACAGGGCTGGAAAAAGTCTCACTAGATGTAATCCACAGTGTTTAGGTTCAGCAAAAATAGTTCTTCTGGGAATTGCTAATATTCACCATCTTGAAGCTGAGGAGTGGGGTGGTGTTTTCCCTGTAAAACCACCTTCTTTAACACTCACTATGCATTATTAGGAACAGCATTTATATTTGATAAATCCTTCCTTCCTTCCTTCCTTCCTTCCTTCCTTCCTTCCTTCCTTCCTTCCTTCCTTCCTTCCTTCCTTCCTCTGTGATTAGAATTTTGCACCATCTCTCAGTGTACATCTCATAGATTTTCAGAAGCTGTGTAAAGCCAGTTAGTTCACAAGTTGCCACTCAGCTCCAGGCCTTGGTAATGTAAAAATTCAAGATTTTGTGGTCTAAATTTCACTATCTTTTAAAAGCTTAATTATAATTTGAGATTTCATTTCAAATTAAAGTCTTATATATCTCTTTTTTTTGCAAAAGTATCACTCATGTTCGACATCTATTTCTGTAAGGCCTTCCTGTAGTTCATAGGATTAGTGCAGTATTAATGCACTATTAATATTATAACATTAATATATTACTTATAATTTTATATATAAATGTATAAAATATACTATAATAATTATATATATAAATATATAAAATTATACTATAATAATTTATTTGGATTTTAAGGCAGTGAGTTTTTTGTTATCTTTGGGGAACACCATTTGCCTGATCTTGTTACAGGTTTTAACCATATTGCATCAGCTGTGGGGAACAGGTTGTTCTAAATTAACACTGTAGGTTCTCATAAACATCACAAAATTTCAGAGTGATATTCTATATTGTCAAAAGACAGCAAATATTCTCCACATGCACCATAGTAAAGATACAGATTTAAACAGAGAAAGTTGATTGTTCCAGTTGTTTGTGGCTTAAAAGTCTTTAAATTAGTCTTTAGAGTTCATTCATTAGTCTTGATCTGCTCATTCAGTGCCAAGTGCTTGTGGTAGGGTGATATGAATGCAAGTCATATTTAAAGCACAAAGAGACCATCACAAGCACTTAAAATTGATTTCTGGATTACTGCAGGCTATTGAACTCATCCACTTGCTTCTGCACTAACCTCCTGTCTGCTAAGAGACACTACTAAATGTGATACAAAGGGAAAGACAAACCCCTTTTTTACTTTTATGTTTTATTCCAATAAATATCAGCCTCACTTTTGAAACTACAGTTACCTTATTTCCATTCTGCAGCTGCACGAATTCTGCACCCAGAAATTTGCCTGCTTCTCTGCTCTGGTCTGTCTCTGTTTCTGGAACATGTGATTTTTCTCCCTGTGAAGGTTCTTGTAGACAATTATCTGGTCACCTCTTAGCCATCTCCAAGCTAAGCTGAACAGATCAGGGTCTTTAATAATCTCCATGGCAGGCCTTTTTTTTTTTTTTTTTCCCTTGCATCTGAACTCTGGACTATTTAAATATATTAAAGGTCTATTAGTTGGTGCCATTTTAAAAATGATACTTGAGGCCTGAATGGTTGCATGACATTTTCTCACTTTTAACATATACTTCCTAATCTCTTCATATGGCAGCAGGCTGGTGGTTGAAGTGAGACCAGATAGCAAAAGATCAGCACTGCCAAGAGTTTTTTAAAGCTGATGGGTCACCCTTGTCACTTCTCTAAAGTGAAATGCAGGTTGTTTCTGTTCTCTGTGTTTGCCTCCATTGTAACAGCTGATGTTCTTACAGGGTAAATTTTTTTAGAACCAACAGGTGAAAAAAATAAATGGATGAATAAATAACTGATTGTAACAGAATTTACAACAGAGACAATAGCCCAGACAAGACCATGACAATTAGAAAATCTGGGTAAATTTGGGAAATCACTAGTCTTCCTTTGCATGCCTTAGCCAGGAGACTATCATTAAAATTGAAGCTGCAAAATTCTACAGTAGGGAAAGAGTTAGGCTTTCCAGCTGCAGCTGTTTTTACCAGTGACCACAGACCATGAAGGACAGGAAGAATCAATTAGGCAGCAGTGTGCCAAGCCAAAACAATGCACAGGCTTACCACAGATGGTGTCACCAGCCTCTTAATAAACTAATTTCCTCAACAAAAAATGGAATTGATCTCAGGCCAGCTTTGGTTGTTTAGAAAAAACCCCAAAGTGCTCCTGTCCATCTAGATGAATGGACCGATAATCTGTTCTTTCTATCTTGTCTCCAGACAGCTGGAGTACAGCACCTTTAACAAACAATGCACTGAAGTTATCTATGAGTAACCTGAAAACTTGGACATAGCCTAAAATCCTTGTCTTCTGCTCTTTGTCACAGCTTTTAATGCAAAATCTTTGCTTGTGATCTTCAGACATTAGTTGTTATTGTTACTGCCTCTTGTTTGCCCTGCTGTATTGCCTGAGGTGCTGCCCTTGGAGATGATGCTATTCAGGTACATAACAGAACTTTGTGAGCCTCAGGACAATTCCCATGGTACATCGTTCTGGGACATAAAAAGGGGGTGAAGTGAACTGGGATGGGATAAAGGAAGGGAAAGATACAAGAAAGAAATGAATGTTGACTAAAGAGCAAAATTACAAGTGGCAAATTTTTTTTTTATTTTTTTATTTTAAGCTAGTGTGTATCTCAGGGGGGAAGAAAACATGGTTATTTTCTCATTACGTGCAGACGTTTAAGATGGTTGCCAATACAAGCTTCCTAAATGGGCTGTGTCATGATAAGACACTTGAGTGTATTCTGAAAAGCGTTCCTCTCAGATATCTCATTTATTAATTTTCTAGCATGGGAGGGAAAGATTATCGTCCACCTCCCAAGGGCCTGGCCTGACTCATGGCTTCCTAACCAGGTCCTCTGAAAACTTAATGTGTGTCCAGCAATGGATGAACTTGGCATATTCCTAGTCATGGTCATATTACAAGAGGAACTGAAGTGGGAATGGAAGAGAAAGCCTAGATTGGTTTTGGTTTTTGGTTTTTTTTTTCTTTTCCCTCTTCAGTTTTCCTATTTGCATGCTCTTGTATATGACTGTGGTTCTCCAGAGAAGCCTCCTTTTTTAACTGCTGGACCTATAAAGATGGGTGTGCTGGCTTTATTTGCCTTCCAGCCAGAAGAGGCTATAAACCAACAAGATGGGTCTGTGGGGCAGAAATGTGGTAAGAGAAAGGTGGAATAGCTGAAGGACCACGAGGACTAAAGGAACAGGAACTTTCACGAATAGAGAAAATACAGGAAGGACAGCAGTGGGAGTAGGACAGGAGCAGCTGGCAGGAGAAAAGAAGCATGAGACTGCCTATGGTCAGAGCAGAAATCCTATGAACAACATTCTTGAAGTCCAAGTTTGCTCAGTTATGCTTGCTTGGACCTAAGTCACATGCTGTTTCTCCATCTCTGATACCACGTGCTGTTCCTGCAAGGACCCTGAGCCAGACTCACCACCTTTGTGATGCTGCCAGGTCTGATGACAATCCGGATGTGAACATTAGTGTAACTGTGTGTAAGCTCAGATGTAATGCCAGAGAAGCAGAACCAATCCCTCAGAGTAGGAGGGGTTGATTTTGCTTTTGTGGTCACTAGTAAGTCCAGCAAACAGAAAAGGCTATGCAGGCTGCTTGCCAGAGAGCAGCAGTTTCCAGAGGAATGGTACCTTGGAAGATCTCAAGGGGGCAAGGGAAATTCATGCTGAGGCAACTTGTGTGAAAGCACTCATTTGTCTGGTACTGAAATCCTAAATTTGTCTAGTGGGTGAACTGTGTGAATGATGGGCATTAAAGGCTTACTTGTTGCTTCCCAAAACACAAGTTTGAGTACTCAGGCTGCACAGAGATAACAGTTCCAGGTACAATTTGAACAAGTAACCATGTGCTTTTACTGTGACCAACACATGGCATTAAAATATGGCCAGTGCTCGGGGACTAGAAAGAAATTATGCAAAACCAAGCAGGATCCTTTTGGTTTCTCTTTTTATTTCTTTATAAAGAAAGGAAAGGATGGGCATGCCAAACCAAAATGGCAGAATACAGACAAAGGTGAGCACTGAGGCTTCTCCTTGGGGACCATCCACAGTAAACTCTTGCCTTGGTAGGGTTCAGCTCCCCATCCCTCCTGCCAGGAGGAGCCCAGCATGCAGCCAGCCCTTCAGCACAATCACAGCTCTTTGAAGTTAGTTTGCACAGTTTCACAATACCATCAGCCCACGTCATGGTGGGGCAGCAGCAGCTGAGGCCAGCAACATTAGCAGCAGCAACATGGGATACAGTGCACAGAAAAAAAGGAGCAAAGAGCTTGTTTGCAAACAATTGTAGGTAACAATATAGAAAGTCCAAAGATCGTCATTCTGCTATAAAAATATTACACTTCATAAAACCATGTACTATAAAAAAAATCTATTCAGAAACGCTGGTAAACATAACAAATATCTGTACACTGGCTACCCTTTTCATACAGGAAACATAAAAAGCATGAGCCTCAGAAATCATCATTTTGTAAACATGAATATGGAGCCTGTAAACAAAGTGCTAGATCATGGTTCATATTTTGTCAATTTAGTACTACCCAAGTAAATTCCTTACATACATCATCACCTAATGGCCAGACACCACTACTGCAACAGGAAAGAGGACTTGACTCTGAGCTCTCCCACCAGAGTCACTGAAGGTGCATGTGGATTAAAGAATTGACACACTAATGAAGGCAGCAAGATTTGGCTCTGAGTAGCAAATCAGAAACAATCTTTTAGCAACTGTTTTTCATTTTCTGCACTTCAAGTGAATGAAGCCTCTCCTTTCAAAATTCACCATCATCGAAGAGGGCATGCATTTTCCTCATTTCCCTTCAGGCTAAAGCATCTCTGAAAAATATGTCCAAGCACAAGTTAACTCTGTAACAATGAATACTAAAGCAAGAAGTAGTGGTTGAACAGTTCAACACTGAACATCATAGTTTACATTATACAGGATGACAAAAAGGGCCAAAATCTTAATTTTAGATTTTAAACTTTGGGCTGCAAAATATGTTCATGTGCAAGCCTTGTGATGACATGCATGATCAGATGCCGGCTGACACACGTGTTGTCTCCCAGTTGCACTTGGAAATGCAAGGTCTAGGTTCACAAAAATCTATGAAGAGAGTTTAAATAAAATTTGGCTGTAAGAATTACTGTAACTTTACTCTGCAACATTTTTGTTCTGCACAGGCTTCAATCCATCCTTCTCCTGAATACTATGAGTTTTAGTTCTGTTCACACTGACTACCTTTCTTTTAACTTCATTTTATATTCTGAGTTTAAATTCTCATGGTTTTGCCAACTTTCAGAATAGGAGAGGGTGTACAATTGTGTGTGCCTGCTGTGGACAGAGAAAGGAGTGTGGGACTGTGTTCACACAGGACCTGAGGTACTCAAAGCAGCTTAGCTGCAGTGTTTTCAGGCAACACAAGGTTTCTGGATCAGGGTCAGCTAGGAGGTAAGAATATACACTCCTAAAGGAAAATTATGTATACTTCAAAAGAGGAAAAGAAAAATGGGCTTGCAATTTTACTTTTTCTTTCTTTTTTAATGTATTATTCTAAAGCATCTTATTGACATTATTTTAGGCCTTTCTATTTTAATGTAAGGAATATCTGAAGGGTTGTGCTGCTTGCCTTTTAGGATTCAGATATGTGAATGTGGAGCTCACGTGGCTCTTGCTTAAAGGTTTCATCTCTGGATGTTCAACAAGGGAACTTTGCTCCTAAATATTTACTTTGGCATTTCTGATACACACATCCTAAGACAGGGCTTCAAAACACCTGCATAAAAATATTTTTCCAGTGAAAGCTACAATATATTTTCTGCTATAGTAATCTGCTGTATCTTCTGTGTTTGACTGCCTTACTCCTTCTAGGGATTGAGAAAGCTGTAGCATGTCCAAAAAGCAAGAATTTCCTCTGCAAAAATGGATGATTTAAAAACAAACCCTGGGGTTTTTCTATCACTTTTATTAAGGTAGTGACAAAAATACAAGCAATCAACATTACTTCCCCATGAGATGTCATCTGTGGCCCTACACCTTCTGGTTACAGGGAGTTTGTATGAACTTGTGGCCAGTTTTCAGAAGCCTGGACTTGTTCTCCCTCTCTGTGCACCAGGCTTGGCACTGGGAACCTGCTGCTATACAAGCATCACATCATTTATAGCCCTGACTCTGAGCCACACCTGGGCTCAGCTCAGCAGAACGCAGCAACAGGGGGACAGAGGTGACACTGAACTTGCAGCCATTCCAATGTGCTGACAGCACTGTTGGCTAAACTAGTTCTGTTGCCTTCCTGCTGTCCCCAGCCATTTGTTCTGACGCACAAACATTTGCTCTGCCCCGTGGTGACCTGGCTAAGGGAGGTGTGAAACGGCAGATGAACAGCTGAAGTAAGAGAAAGTGACTGCCTGCCATTTTTAGTGCCAGCACTTGCTGGTGTAAGTTCAGTAGAGCAGCAGCGTAAGAAACCTTTGTGCCATCCATGGCTCAGGGGATGAGCCAAGCCCTGTCATAATTTCTATCACAGACACACAGCAATTGCACACTTGACTGAGGTTTGGATGTATTCAGAGGTACCAGGGCTGGGTACAAGTTGTTGGAGAGAGCTGAAAGGGTCTGGCTGAAAAGAGAGCCCAGTATTACATCCAGGGTTAGATGAAGTACAGGAACACACAATCTGCACCTTGTAAGAGGTACATGACATGTGATCTCATGGCATCGTGTCACACATGATGTGCTTCACCCAGCTCTCTGTGCTTGGGCTATCCCCAGCACCCTGGGCTCTCACGGATTTGAAGAAGATTTTTTTCATGAGGAAACAAAATCTATTCTCAGGTAGGCTTCTTTTTCAAATGTAGAGATTTAGAACAACATGTCTGTGAGTGTCACCTGTCATTTGCTGAAACAGTCAGGCTTTATAAATGGTATCTGCTGTTAAAACTTGCTTAGATAATGTTAAACAGATTTTAAATAAATGAAAATTCATGAGGGGCTGGGGCAGAGGTCAGATCTCCCTTTGAGCAGCATCTCCACACTCCTGCAATACAGACAAGCTGTGGTGCTGTGTAGGAACTGGCGTAATGCTTCCCATGATATTCTTCATCAGGGATGAAGAATATCATGGGATATTCATTTGGCTTCTTCAGAGTCCTGAAGCTGTAGAGGTGGGGTCCAGCTCTTCAAAATGTGGGGATATGCCTCCTCCTTGCTGGGCAGACACTTCTCTCCTGGACTGAACAACAAAACCTGCATGGATATGGTCCTGTGCAACTTGCTCCAAGTGAACCTTCTTTAGCAGGATGGTTGGACTAGATGGACACTAGAGGTCCCTTCCAACCCAGACCATTCTGTGACTGATTTTGAAGTGGGGCTCCAGATGAGATGACTATGTCTGTGACAGGTACCCCGGGGTATGCCTTGGACACTCATTGCATTGTGCAGCTTGATGGTTAAAAACGTAACTATAATATTTGTAATAGTCTAAGGCACTAGGTCACTTTATAGACTAAAAGCTTGCAAGATGGTATGCTCTAATTCAAAGAGATTTTTAGACTTTCAGGAGTTATACATAACATTAAGTAAATGTCTCTTAAGGTTATATAAAGAGAGAGAGCGAAAGAAAGAGGCTAAGCCTTTTTCAATTTTCTCTTAGAAAAAAAGAAAAAAGAAAAAAGAAAAAAGAAAAAAGAAAAAAGAAAAAAGAAAAAAGAAAAAAGAAAAAAGAAAAAAGAAAAAAGTGCTTATTGCTGAGCTACACCATGGCCAGGAGTCTAGAAAGGAGGTGCTGGTGTAAAAGCAGCCATTGCAGTAATTAGGCCACAGCCTAGCATCCTCTCCTGGTTCCGGCTGGGCCAGGGGAACCAGTGGGCGCTATCAGTCTGAAATAATGACTGCCAGCAGCATATTCCTCCCTTTCTGCCTCCCTTGGATTTACTGATGGAGGCTCTTGTATTTCAGTCCAAGTGAGCTGGATCAGCAAGACTGACAGCGGAAAAGGTTTAATTGGGTTCACTTGACTGGAAAAGGTCACAAAACCCTCAGAAAATCACCTCCCATGGCAGGACTGCAGAGGGGAGACTGATCTGCCCTTGGAAGTGCACGGGGATGCACATCTGGGATGGGGGGGGGCCTGGATGGATAAGTTTCTTCCATGGATGGGCACAGCCTTTTTTTCTACACCCAGAGTAATCATTACCATTATCAATGACAGATTCCAAAGAACACTGCAGACAAAACCCTCTGAGTATTACCTCCACCTCTGACTACACTTCTATTTATTTGAACAAGCTGGGACAGCACCTTTTTGTGCATGTGTTTACATACAGACACACAGATGCACACATGTGGATGCACTGGCAACAAAACCTTAAAAAACAAAGCTCACTATAGGTATGGGCTAATAATTATTCATAGGCTTATAAAGTAATTAATGAGCATTAAGATGTGTAAGTGCACAAGTGTCTCTATGTTAATAGTTGATGGGTTAGAAAGAGGAAAGTCAGGAAGAGATTAAAACCCTTAAAATTTGGGAAGAACAGCATCCTGTAAGCTTGGCTGACAGTACTATTCAGTTTAAAAAAAACCCTCAAGGAATTAAGACTGGGTATGTATAGAAGGAATTAGACTTTTTCCAGTGGTTGTGAGAGAAAGCAAACTGAAGCAATGTAAGATGACCAGGGAATCTCAGAGGGAGACAAAAACTGTTCATAACATTTCCAACAGTCTTTCTGCCCATATACAACACAATACAATACAATACAATTACTCCGACCACTAAAAATATGTTTTGTTGAAACAGCACATACCAGCTGGGACCCCAGAAAATCCAGCCCTCCCTCCAGGTTGCCCTTTGCATCCCTATGCCCACCTTGCCTTCTTCCAGGACAGAAGTCACTTCAAGGGAAGCAAGGCCTGGCCAGAGCTGTTCTGCACCAGCCAGGACATCCCTGCCAGTGGATATCCTCATGGTGTGTTGTTAGCAGAAATGAGTGAGACTTAACTTCTAACCAGCAGAACATTCTTAAGGCAGCAAAAAGCTGACACTGAGCACAGATTAGCCAGAGGAGAGAATGTGGGCTGCTGTGTACACAAGCACAGACACCCACCCGTGTGTTTGCACTCGTCAGTCCCAGCCAACTCAGCCTCTGTGTGAAGTTTCACAGCATTGTTTATTTTAGAAAAGAGAAGGGCTTCAAGGAGAGCTGCTTTGCAGCGATCCTCTGTGCACAGCACATAAACTTGAACATTAAATATCAGTTTAAATTATTAAGAATAAATTTAAATTTAAAAATAGACTAATGCAAACAAACAAACTTCAGTCAACATTGAAGCAGAGATAGTTTTAGGAAGAATATTACTATTACAAATAACCCCTTGGACAATCTGAGGCAGTGATCTGGTAATTCCAGTTCAGCACCGAGATGCACAAACTACCCAGCAAGCAAAAATTACCATGTCTAGCATATGAAGCTCCATGTTCACATTTTTCTTTTTTTTTTTCCTCCCCTGTCACAACAGAAAAAAGCCAACACAGCACAGTAGCTTTTCCCACCAAGCATCTGAGGTGACAAAATTCACTCGGAAAATAAAAATTAACAAAAGCAGTACAAAGAAGAATCTTGGTCAGCTTGTGACCACCAATAAGCCAAGATGGGTAAGAAAAGGAATAAAAAAATAGTTCACATCTGGCACCACAAACCTTGCTTGCTTTCTTTGAAACCAGGGAATGAGAAAAAAGTCCATTTTGCAGAGACCATTTCAACAAAAGTTTCCTTTCCCTGGACCTGGAAAATCCAGGTATTAGGGCACAGAATTTTTGTTTTATATGTATATAAATACACATGTACATATTCATATAAATATAAAAGCAGAGCATCCTCCCATTTCTTCTCATAATTTATTATTATTAAAGCTTGTAACAGAGTTGGCTGAACTCTTCAGAAGTGGGTACTCTCTGCACACACATGGCATGGGGAGTTTAGCTCTGCTAGAGCAGAACACCCAGGCAGGGACATGGGTGATGGAGGCAGATTTGGGTGATCAGCCAGGGAGGGCAGGGAACAGTGACTGGAAGTGGCCTCTCTTGCTCCAGCGTGGCCCTCTGGGCTGCCAGAACGGCTCTCAGTGAGCAGACTGGGTGATGGTTGGGAGGATGGATGGCTGCATCGACCCTCGTGGCCCCTGGGCAGCCCAGCCACCCAGTGTCTTGTGCACCAGTCACTGAAGGGGGACTGCCCCTGCTCTGAGAGGGAGTCACAGTCTGCTCCCAGCCACTTGTATGCCAGTTGCCTTTGCATTATTTTGCTTACTGTCCTCAAAGCCACTCACATCCTTCCCTGCCTTTGTTTGGTTCCCCAGCCCCTTCACCTGATCCTTCCAGACCTACTTGCTGGCCAAGACCAGACACCTTTCTCCTGCCTGATCCACAGGCTCCTACTCACACTGCTCTGCATGAATGCCTCTCCACAGTCTCATAAGACCCATTCTTTCCTTCAGAAGACCGAGCTTCTCAGAGGTTTTTGCTCTCTGAGACTTTTAAGCAAGTCAGAGCTGGTGGCACACTCTCCTTGAGAGGTGCTAGCTTCATTCCACAGAAGGCAGGGGCAAAGTGCAAAAGATTCCTCAAGACCAGAAGGTATTTCCATCACCACCAGCTCTCTCTACGTCATGTTGTTAAGCACTTGTTTCAAATAAGGTATTACTCATGTGTCTCTGGAGCTTTCACTCTTCCTGGGGTGAGTAGAGATCAGCAGATGTCTACTTGTGCCAAGTCACTTCATCATGATGCATGCTGGAGCAGCATCCTAACCCGACTCCATTCTTCATAGCAAAAAGTGCTTTTCTTGAGAAACAAAATGAAAACTGTTCCCATGGAACATCTTACAGACTCAAAAATAGTTTTCCTAGGGTGGAAAGGATGGAGCTTGCCTATTTTATTTGGCTTTATCTTTATAAAGAAACAGAGCTACTGGCAAAACTGGCACATCTTTGTGAAGTTGTTGAACTCGGGACCCTGGCTGGAATGTAAAAGAAAAGATGTAGCAAATGAGAACTTTGCCTTACGGGGGCTTCTGCTAGTTCTGGCAATTTCATGTGCAGGCTGTCCAGAAAGGTTCTGCTAGCCAAGTAAAGATGAATTTCTCAAATAATAAACTGAGGGATTTCAAGGAGGCCTTTTGGGGGTACTGCTACAATCTGGTAGAGGTCAGTCTTTTCATGCCTCGTCGCTGAGCCAGGTTGGAGGACAACACGGGCTCCAGCCTTGGTGCCTGAGGTGCACGGTTTAAAGCGAAGTAAGTGGCTGCCATTGCACCCTGCGAAACAGAGAAAGAGAAACTCTGAGCTGAAATTAACTTCTTTGATGCTTTTCCCTTCCCTTATTCAGTATCCTAAAAAATTGTCACACGTGCACAATTTCCATGAAATGATACCATTTAGGCTGGCAGACAGCTAGAGTTGTCTCAGATTCAAAATGGTGAAGAGCAGTATGTGCCACCAGGTTATTACAATGCAGCCTAAAGCTGAAAATACTGAGCAGGTGACAGTCAAAAATACAAGTAATACAGTGCCATTTTAAATTTAGCCTCTGTGGCAAATAATTTTCCCAACTCGTCTATCACTTTTCAGACTATTTCCACAAATGACAGCTCATTCTGCAAGCAAGGATGAGGGAAGGGTGTAGGAGGTACCTTAACCAGGTGAACATCCTGTCTGCTGAGTTGGTTTTGAGACAGGTACTCCCTGTTCACTATCCATGGATGTCTCAGGACCTGGACTGCTGTCAGGCGCTGATGAGGGTCTACATGAAGCATCTTAGACACAATGTCCTGGGTTGAAAAGGAAGAGAGAAGTACAAGGGAGAAAGTAATTAATGGCTGTGCAGGTTTTACTAAGATCTTGCTGGTAGCAAGATTAATATGTTACTAGGATTGCTTGCAACTTTGTGGTGGAAAGTATCAGTGTTCTTCCACTGGATACTAACAGTTTCTAAAAATGAAATCTCTTGAAACAAAAAGCCTCTTTAAAGCCTGTCAAAGCTTCTGATTAATGGTGGGCAACTGGAAGCTTGCAACTTTCCTGCCCATTTACCTGTCTCACAGGCTAGTGCACAGCTTCGTGCCTAAAGATCTCAGCACCAGATGAGTTTTTTCTCTCAGGGTTTTCCCTGCTTTGTGATAGATGGGCAGCCTAAACTGTGATCTGTACAGAAATTAAAACTGTCTGCTCCTGGTTAACTGAGAAACAAAAAGGTGGTTCATGCACAGACTATACATCTGTGGCACTGACAAACCTACACTTCTTTTAGAAGTGCAGTTGCACCAAAAAAAGAATTCTGTCGTATTTAAATCTTGAGAGAAAATCTGAGAAAGGGTTCACTGACCTTTGCAGTATCAGATACTGAATCCCAGTTTCCTCCTGTAAGAGCATATTTGCCACTGCCAATCCTGGCCAGAATCTCCTCTGGGGTGTCATCTGGTCCATTTGCAAAAGGAGTAAACCTATGCAAAAAAAAAAAAAAAAAAAAAAAAAAAAAAAAAAAAGAAAAGGAGAGAGAGAGAAAGAATCTATATAATTTGCAAGTACATGATTTCCATGATTCCTGTATTAACTGACAATGATCAGAACAGGAGTTTAGTTCCAGAATGTACCACTGATACTGCTGCTTCATTTTCACTCAAACTATACAGCCTGGTGCTTCCTCATATTGATCTGCAGAGGAAAACACAGATTCCTTAATTGTTTTTTAAATTTTTGTTTTAAATTTAAATTTTTGTTCTGTTATAGTTTTTAGGAATGAAATACTCTTCATAAAAATAGTCAAGTGTTTACCTCTTGATTTAACTTTGCTTTATTGACAACACCTTTATTGCCAATACCAATGCCTTGGTAACAGCAAGAAAGGACAAAAATTATAAAGCAGAAGAAATACAATCTGAAACAGAAAAAAAGGAAAAGAAAAAAGAGCTTTGTAATGTATTTTGCAATGTTTGTTAACCATAATGTGCAAGTGAGCTGGGCAAAAGAAATTACCTGCAATAAGTTATTTCCTTATCCAGCCAGTCAGAAATGACTTTTAACAAGCACCCAGATTGTGACAAAATCAGTGTCACAGGCAGAAGGTGCCCTTTTTGTCTTCAGAAAGTGACAAGAGATATGGTTTTTGCAGCTGACTAACAACTACCAGGCCAAATTTTACTCTGCAATCATGAACAGCTGCATAGGTTTAGAAGAAGTAGGTATTTTGGATTTTTATATTCTTCATTCCATCTGTCTTTTCTTCAAACTTGCCAGAGCAGTTTTTAGATTGTTAAACAGTTGGTTTGGCCACAGCTTCCTATCCCATCTGGCTTCTGGTAGCAAATTGAATTCCTCATGCAGTATTTTCTCATTTTCAAAAACATTTCAGTCTTCATAGCAGTTCAGCCCAAACTCTGAGGTCTATCAGTAGCTCCATTAACATCATCCCTGGCTGGTGCTCTATTCCTGGCTGAGTCCTCTCACCTCATAGTGTTTATAGGAGGAGAAAGAAGTCCTGGATGAAAATACTTGTCAGTTCCTACTAATCTCCTCCAGTGAGGAAGAACAAGACCATTCATAAATGCAGTGGTGTTATCTAAAAAAGCATTTTTTAACTGATTGTGTTACTACTATTTTCTCTGGTGTGCAGAAAAAGAGAGATGCAAGCTACTGGCACCTGTCAGTAAACTGAACATCCACTAAGTTGTGCTATTTGTATTTCTGACTCAAATATATTTGGATTTTTTTTCTTCATATTCAATAAAGAAGTATTTTGAATATAATCAACCAAACAAATGTAACTGTGGATAATGTGTTAATTTTATTTTACTGATTCCAGCTGTGTAGCAGCCATGGGCATCAGCCAAATAGAAATAGGTTCTTGGAGATCCAGCAGACTGGGAGATTTCCCCACAAAGTCTTGGTATATTTCAGCTGACTCTGAACATGTGCAGTCAAGAATAAAACAGATGAGATAGAGACCCCTGGCATCTTTTCTACAGTCCACAAATAACAGAATAACAGAAAGTCAGAGTCCAAATCTTTGTTTTCTGTATAAAACCTAGGAATTAATCCAATCTTCTTGTCACAGCTGAATGATCATGAAGCAGATTAAACAATTTAGAGAGGTCACTGAAAGCTGCAAGCTGTGCTTAGGTGTGATGAATGTGCAGATACCATAGTCTGAGAAATAAAATTCAAAGCCTGGTAACTCTAGACTGGGTTTGCACTTTGTTTCTCAATCATCCCAGCACATCTTATTCCTATCCTTCACTGCTTATTTCAATCTGTGCCTTTCTCTGGATCTTCTTGTGTTAATATTTTGTTTTAGCCAACACATTGGTAGGGGCATTTTTGCCAAGTACCTCTCAAAAGTTTCTGCTGCCTGTTGCTATTCTTGCTAGTTTATCTCTTTTGAATCCTATTTTTTCAAACAGCATCTGAAAACTATGTTTGGGTGGGTTTTTTTTAGCTTTTAAAGGTGCTCAGACATTTCAATAACAATAACAGATGAAGAATAATGAAGCTGAATAATTCATTCTAGCTATCAATAGAATGAATTAACATTCTTTCATGGATAAGGTGAACACGATGAGGCTCTTCATTCTCCTATGCACCTCTCCTAATAGAAAACTTCCCCACTGCTTAAGTCATGAGTGAACCCTTCGGGAGTCTAGGTCTCAGTGCATACAGGCACTTTCTGTTAAAAACCTAAACACTTTGTCAAGTGTCAAAGATATTTACACATCCTAGAAAAAACTTATTCCAATTTTAAGCACTGACATCTATTTTCTTGCTTTATACAACTGAACACACACCTCTCAAGGAGGTCAGAATCCCTATCTGTGACTGCTTTCAGGCTTAGTCAGTGCTGAGCCCACTGGAGACTGCTGCTCTAGGAGAATCTCACCACTCACCCTGCCAGCATGGTGTACAGCAGGATCCCCAAGCTCCAAATGTCACAGGCTGCATCATAACCTTGCCGTTTGAGGACCTGTGGGGAGGAAAGAGAGAGATGAAAATACGGAAACCGCATTCCTGAATTTTTAGCTTCTGATCTACAAGATGCACTGATTAATGCTTGTGTCTGCTGACATTCCCAGGGCTTAGCTGTGTATCTGCCTTGAACAGGTGGCTGCCTTGGGATCAAAATGTCCAGTAGTGCTATGGAGCAAGGCAAAGCCCAGGCTGAAATGAGCTGGTTAAACTCAGCACATCTTTCCCCTTCACAGTGTGACAGATCAGTGCAGTTTGTTGAAGCTAGGGAGGCTGAGAGCTCCTCTGACCATCCAACATGCAGCAAAGCAGAACAATATTTTACTGCTTTAAAATGTTTCCCTTTAAAATGTTTCATTTAAAAAAAAAGCTCATTAATACTTCAAAACATATCCTCCTAACATAAAAGTTACCAACAACCCCGTGGATGCCTCACAGGGATAAATGACAATGATAAGTATTCCAGCTGAGCTCAGTTTGGATTTAATACAGCAGATGGATGCACACTGAAGCATATATAATGCCAGACTAATGAAGATGCATGCTAAAAGGCTTCTCTTACTTCTGTATAAAGAAAAGTGGGCACATTTAGACTGGAGTAAACAGCAGGCTAAAACTTGACCCCCTTTTCCCATGGGGCAAACAAGACCCATGGTAGTCAGCAGAGATCTGACCAGTTGGTTCAATACTGATACAGGATGTAGCAGTAAGGGTGCAGGAAGGTGTAGCAGTAAGGTGCAGTCCAGATTTCATTTGTGCTTGTGCACACTAGAAGAAATGCCTGGTGAGTCAGTGCAGGTCCAAGTGAAAGTGAAGTGACCACCTAAGCTCAAGGACCACCTCCATATCTTCCCATAAAAGCAAACTACCCTCTGTTTATTCAGTTCTGACACAAAGGGAGTTTTGTCCTCTTTAGATGGACCAGAAGATACATCTTTTTGCAAAACACATGAAAAAGGAATGTACAAATTCAGCAAGTTTTCTCTGACCTGCAGCCTTATTACCCAGGAGTGATTTAAGTATCTGAAGTCTATCACAGAAAAGATCAAATTCTGCTAAGGAAAAACAGTTTGAGAAAATGTTTCCTCAACAGATTTTATAAATGATGAGTGGCAAAGCAACCATCTGCCAGGTATGCTGCTGAGTGAACATTTGTTACCTGGAAAAAAAAAGCCAACAAGCTAAAAAGACTCCCACAGCAACAAAACCAGAGAAAAATCCACAGTTCCTGCTGTTGACAAAGCTGGTAAAATCGTGCTTCTGCCTCTCTCTTCTGCACATAAGGTGCAGGCTTTCTGGCTGTCTTATTTATTTCTATTCCTTTAGTTCCTGCATTCATTCCCTCTCTATTAATGTTAGTTTTTATGGGAAAAACTTCTTTGCTATTTGACAAACTCAGCTGTTTCTTGCTTCACCTGTGAGACTGAATGCCCAATATTTATCTTTTGTTGTGGTTGTTCTCGTGTTTTGCACAGTTACAATTTCACTTCTTCTCTCTTTTCCTCCAATAACCAAGGACAATCAAGTCCAAGGTGAGTGACAGAAAAACGGGGCAGTGATGATACTTAGTGGAGAGGGTTAATGAGCAAGTGGTTACACAACCTCAAAATGATTAGGTCACTTCCAGAACTTAGTGGGATCTGAAATAGAGGCAGAAGCTGGTTCTTAGTGCCACACCATAGCAGGACATTGTGGGGACAATGGGTATCCTGGAGATAATGATACCCTGGTTCCATCCAGTTCTGAGAATGGCTCAGATATTTGTCCAACCTCTTCTATTTCTGTAGTCTTTGACTTACTGGGTTAACAGTGTTTGAAATAGAGGATTTTCTCAGTTGTAACAAGCAAGGATTCAAATGGGTACAAAAGCAAATAAAGAACCTCATCATTTCAAACCACAAAGCAGTGGGTCTTCACAAATTCTGTAGGAAACCTGCAGAGTGAAATATTTTTACTTTATCCAGAAGCACCCTACTGTATCAGTAGTACAACAGCCTGGCTCTTTCCTCCTTGCATGCAGCACGACTCGCACTAGGTGGCAGCGTGCCTCTTTCAGACAGCCTTCATCTTTGCCCTTGCTACCACCTAAACCCCAAACTGTTTCCAAAATAAAGGAGATCCAAGTGGGCAAATATGTTCTCCTCCTTCGGTCACCGCCCTCTTTGTCACCAGCTCAGCTGATTTTCTGCCTCCTTAATTGGTTTCACGAGCACATGGCAAATGTTGCAGTTGGACTCAGACAGGGAACATGAAAGTCAAATCTAGGCTGGAGGGCAGCATTATATCACAGGTAAAAGTAAAAGCACTTAGAGCTTTATGTAAGCTCTCTGCCAGTTCTGGTAATGTTTCAATTAATCTCCAATGTCTCCTGCATTAGCAGGACCTGTCTTACTCATCATGAATGTCTGGGAATGTGATTTCTGCTTTCAGTTCAAATCAGAAGAGTCTGATAATGAAAAGAGAAGAGCCCATCATGAAAAATAGCTACGCCTATTTTAAGCATCTTGTACCTTGGAGGAAATCTGAGTGCTTCAAATCTTGCAAACATGATTTTTTTTCTTTTTTTCTTTTTTTTTGTGGTTTAGAAACTGAATGGCTGTGGTGCCACACAACTTTTTCAATCTACTTTGATAATTTTAAACAGCTCATTCCCATTTCTAAAATCGAAGCCTAACCAAATAAATACCCCAAAGCAATCTATCTTGGCAATGGAAAGTTTGTTTTTTCTCTGAAGAAAATCTGTTTTGAATTATACTGCACTGGCAATAGTCTCTATATAACAAATTCTGATGCTGGAAGGCTATGATTCCTGTAACTTTTGGTATCATGAAAGGACCCTGTACAGAAAGATCATCCTATTTTTTTTCTTCCCAGTCACAAATGAACAGTGCGTAGGAGAAAGATAAAACTTAGGGAGAAAAAAGACTGCTAGATGATACCATCTGAGAGACACTGGTATTTGATAGTAGAGAACAGATGAAATATGGAAAGACAGCAGTTGTTTTTTTTTTCTTATATGGACCAAAACAAGCAAAGGAAGACACACATTTGAAGCAGTGTATTGCAAATACTAAAATTTTTTATCTTCATCCCTCCAAGAAATGGATAATTACCCAAGAAATTAACTTCGTGCTCCTTCATTGTGAGGAAGCAGATATGAATATGTCATGAGTCAAATACAGTAAAGAGCCCAAGCCATGAAACACTGAGCCATGCCCACTCCTGCAGGACTGCATGAAAGGAACAGCACTTGCCAGTGATGCAGAGTCACCTCTCCCTGTGCTTGGGATAAACTGTTTGGTCTTCCTTCACTTTCCTGTCTGTAAAAACAAGAAAGAATTTCCTACATCCCCCAGAACAGGGGTGAATGTGTACTAGGAAAGCCCAAGAGGAGAGATGTTTCTTTAGCTAAGTGAATTCAACAATAAAACTCTCACTGATTTCAGCACAGTAAAGATTTTGTGCAAGGATTTTTTTTTTCAGTTTTATCACAGACTCCTGGAATAGTTAAGGTTGGAAGGGTGATAAAGTTCAATCTTCCTGCTCAAGCAGGGTCCCTTGGAACACTCAGGATTGTGTCTGATCGCTTTTGGATATCTCCAGAGAAGGAGACTCCACAATGTCTCTGGGTGACCTGACATCAAGATTTCCCTCTTGAGCCTTAATCCTGTTCTGATGCAGTGCACTAGAGGAAAAGCAGTCTGATCAGAAGCAGCTAGAGAAAAAAAGATATTCATCCTAGTAATGAGCCAAAACATTGAGTGCACAGTCCAAGACAGACACCAACTTCTGTCAGGAGGAAAACAAGTGCTGTGACAGGAGCAGGAATAGGAAAATTATGGTAATAGATGCTGTGCAAATGCCAGTAGCCTGGTTTCTGCCTTGCTGCTCTCACAAAGGCAGCAAGGGAGGAAGGATTGCTTCCTAGGACACACAGACTACTGCAGGCTTTGAAATGTGATCCTACCTCAGGAGCAACAAAGTTGGCTGTGTAGCAGGGAGTCATGAGCAGCCCGTTCTCCGCTCTCAGCTGCTTGGCAAAGCCAAAGTCACAGATCCTGATAGAGTCTGGGTTTCCTGACTCATCCATGTAGAGGATATTACTTGGCTTGAGATCTCGGTGCACGACCTTAAGAGAGAACAGTGAGAAACAAGTGAGAAGAGGAGGTCAGGGAGCACTTGGGCTTGGCTGCCATTTCTGGTCTGCTGGTTGGGGTAGGTCAAGAGCTCATGCCGAAAATATTTCAGTTTTGGAAAAAAGTTTACTTAAAAGCCTTGGAGAAATGAAGGGGGAAAAATGAAAGTCTGTTAAAATGAGAGACAAAATATTTGACAGCCTCTGTGGGTGTATTGGGATGGTGCTGCTGCTCTGAGACAACTTCATGAGAGTGGCCAAACTGGGCTGTTGTACAAACATCCTGGTGGCAGAATCTGCTGGAGCTTGATGGCCCTGAATACCCAGCTGAAAGGTGAAGAATAAATCACATCATGGGAGGAAAGTGTATGAGGGTCTTCTTGTGGTTGTCCATGTGAGTGGCCCACATCTGAAAGGAGGGATTACATTCTTTCTTAATTACAAAATGTATTCACACAATTTCATGTGACTGTGTGTTTTACCAGATATGCTGAATTTCAGTGGCAGGAAAACAGCCTTATTTGTTATAGCAAGACTGAAAAATTACCACGAAAGCATAGAAGCCAAATGACAAAATGCACTTTGTTTTAACATGAAACAGGAAGAGCAATAAATATTTGACTGGTGATCCAAGCTGCTTGTCCCGGAAATGCAGAAAAGGAGAGATTTTTCAAACTGTTGTATATAGAACTTAGACTCCAAAAGTCAGATTTTAACAGCATGACAGAAGTCTTTCCCATCAGCTGCTCAAACTGTCACTTCATTTGGAGAGCTGAGCATTTGATTTTCTACCTGTCTGATGATCCAGCTACCCTATCTGAAGTGTTGCTAAAAGTTCAGATCCTGCAACAATGATTGTGATAAAAAGCCAACAACTAAAATCTCAAGAAAGTACATGAACTTAAAAATCACTGTAGTGTGGGAAGGAAAATACTACTTTGACATGCTTCAGTTCAGTGGAAAATGGATAAAAAGCCAATGACCCTATTTCACAAACCAAATGTAACTATAAATACTGAGGTAGGATTTTTGGGGGGGGGGGCGGAAAACATATTTACATTTCAGAGAAGCAAAATCACAAGTATTTGCGATTTCAGGAAGTTGAATTTTAAGAAGGTTGGTGCAGCTAAGCCAAAAGAGCAAGGCTTACCCCCTGAGAGTGCAGGTAGTCCACAGTCCTGGTGATGGTGCACAGCACAGCGCTGGCCTCCCGCTCTGAGAAGCACTTCTGCCGAAGGATGCGGTCCAGCAGCTCGCCGCCCCGCATCAGCTCCATCACCAGGTACACGAACTTCCCGTCATCATAGACCTGCAACAGGAACACAGCAAACGCATGTCTTGGACCCACCAGCTTGGTAAAGGTTGGTCCTTTAACCACAGTGTTGGCTTGCTTGCAGTGTTGGGAAGCTGCAAGAAGAAAATATCGGCAAATGTGTGGGAAATGGGCTCCTTACACTCAACAACTAAAAAGAAAACTTTATAAAATGACGTAAATCATCACTTTTTTCTGGTGTCTGTAGCAATTTTCTGATTTGTCCTCACAGAAATGTAGCTTTCCTGGTTTTGTATCATGTCAACAGAGAAGGCTCAGCTGTTAAAAACAGCACCACTCCACACAGCTTCAAATGCCTGCTGGCTCTCACCCAAGCATTCTTCTCAGTAGTGTTCTCTCTTTCCACTTCCACAGGGTAACATTTGCCATTTCAAATATCAATATTTCCCTTTGACTCATGATCAGCTAAAGAGCTGTATTATGCTGTTGGCCAACACTTGCATCTAATGATATTATTTAGTTTATATTTTCAATTCTGGTGAATATATTGTTGGTATCAGCTGCAAGAGATATTTACATTCAATGTCAATGGCAGTTGGTAAAAGTAATTTTATCATTTAAATTGGAGGACAACCATTCTCATGTCATTGTCCTTTATCTAGACTGCAATAATAGGCAGTGTTATAGTCATCAATTCTAAATGTTTTTGGAAAGGAATATAAAAACTTATTTTGTTAAGATTTTTTAAAATACACTTTAACACTTAAGAATTGGGTGAGACTTTCCTGAGGGCATGTGATTAGAAGATTCTTTTATACTTTCCTAAGGTCTAAACCACAATGTACTGGCCACTCACGCAAGCAGGATTTGTTCTGTAACTCTGAATCTGACATGGTGTGGACAATCTTAGGTGAGACTTCAGGCAGCTAAAGTAAAACACCTCTGACCAAAGGCCACTACTTCATTTAAGCATAGTGAAGGAATATTTTTTCATATGAAATGCCGAAGAAAAATACCTGAATGGTTGCTGGAGTAGAAGGCAAATAGTCCCTGGTATTAAAACACTCTGGGGGAATCCTGGTGACTCTGTGAGCTCTCCTCTTCCCAGCAAAGCAGATAGCACAGGCTGCACAGGAGTGACTGGCTGCTTGAGAAAGATCATCCCCCTGCCCAGCAGCACCACTGTGTGTGTTCAGCAGTGCCCCAAAACACCCAGTTAGGGAGATCCCCTTTTGAATAGTGCTGCAAACCCAAACCCAAACCCATTTTTTCTTCTCCATCACTGTGCCCCTTTATTTTTTTTTAAGGTTTGTTAGACAGTAACTGGAGAATGCATAACCTGACCAGTCGTTCCAAATGCTATCCAGTAATTCGTTAAGTCATGTTTTTCTCCTTGATTACAATGGGTCTGGTTTTAGCTCAGACCTTCAACTGAACAATTTTCCAGACCTGGACTGATAAGTGAGTGTGATTAGAAGGTGAAAATCATTTAATGCTGGAGTGCTCAAAGACTACTCACATCTTTAAGAGTAATGATGTTTGGATGCTGTCCATATCGCAAGAGTATCTCAATTTCTTCAGAAGGGTCTCTCTTGCTCTTATCAATTATCTGGAATAAATGAAGGACAGTGTAGTCAAATACCAGTTAGCAGCACTAAGCACAAAGCAACCAATTCCTACAAATTAATATTCAAAATTCTTCTATTAATCATTATTCTACGAGAGGACAGCACAAACCATGTGCAAATGACAGCCATGCTGAGTGCCTGCCAAAGGCAGATGGAGCAATAATTAGTTTAGATTCCGGAGGCGTAGGCCCTCCTTTTGATGCCTACAGTTCTGTTTACCCATAAATAATGGCAGTAACAAGAAGCATCATTTGGAAATCAAACAACATCGAGAGTTTTAAAATAATCGTAGCTTTAAAATTACCTCTTTGACATAAAAAATGATAGAATTGTAATATTGGCATATGCTTGTATATATGCTATTAAATTGATAGAAATTAATTGTCATATGTATTTGTCAGAAATGAAAATGTATGGACATTTACTGTCAGGGGAGATTTGAATTGAAACTTTTGGTAATAAATTGGCTCTTTGGGCCAAGCTGTTGTAGTGAACAACAGTGTGACCAGACATTGTATTTGGCCATGTAACCAAACTCTACCCATTCCTAAACTGGAAAGAAATCTGCTTCATAGAACACTTCTATGTAGTCAGTGTCTTTTGCCTTATTAGACAATATAGTAAGACATGCAAAAGTTTTAATTTTGGATGTAGCAAACCTGTAGCACCAGGTCTTAGAAAAACATGACAGCTGCTGCTTAGAGAGCATCACTGCATGGAAAGCCACCTAGCAGGAGAGCACTGACTTCTCCTCAGTGATTCTGGTAACCATATTTGCCATGTCAGGCAAAGAACTTTAGTCATTTGTCCAGCTGAGAACACTGATTAATGTTTCTCACTTTACAGATTTAAATCATAAATATGGAATAAAAAAAATAATATTAAGGGAAATCTCTGCATTTTGGAATCTCAAAAGTAACTGCACAGGAGATGGTGAAAGACTCGTTCTACTAGAAACTCATAGGAGTACACTATTTTGTCTCTATTTCTTATTGCTAGAAAACAACAGCAGTACTTTTGAATAGCAGGTTTACCAAAGTGGAATGGGTGGCATTTTCAGAAAATCTTTTCCACTACTACCTTGGATATCAAGGCTTCCATACTTAAATGTGGTTAGTTTCTCTCCAAGAGCTGAGCACAGAGCACAAATTTTAAATTATGATGTTAGCAGGGAAAAAACAGCTCTTTGAAAACCTCTTTTGCTAATGAAGATAAATGCCTGCCTGCTTTTTAATAAAATATATGCATTTTTCATGGTTTATTTATGATGATACAAATTCAAGTACATGAGTAGAATCTTATGCATTAGCCATAATAATGCATAACTGAATATAAATCAGAGGTTTCACAGTTATCATGACTGGCATGTATGTGTAGCGATAATGATGGTCAGAAATTTTCCATGGCTCAGGTATGCCTCTGAGGCCATATCAGGGATTTGACTCTGAATTAATGGAAGTGTGATAAATGAAAGTGCAACAGGCAGCTGATGCAGGTAAATGGTTATTGCCCACCTTTGAATAAATAAAGTAAAACCTCAAGAATAGGTGAATGAAATAAATATTTCTGCTGTTGTTCTCCCAGTTTAGTTGAGACATTATCAAGAAGCCAACAAAGTCCTGATGGACCCACTCCATGTGAGCACAACCACAGTGACTAAATGTGTCCCACTCAACCAGTAAGCCTAACATACAAGAAGATCCTCAGGGCCACTTCCTTGGCTACACTGATAAACTTCTTGTCAAGTTACTGGAGAAATTCACATGTGCCCCTGTTAGTATCTGCCTGCCCTGTACAAGCCAGCAGAACCTACTGTGGCAAGTATTGCCACCAGTGTGAAGGACCACTACCACTGTGCTGCTGTAGCAAGCTATATATTCCAGACTCCTTTTCCGTTGCAGTTCCCTGTGAAAGCAAATATCCAGAGCTGTGGAAAATTTTAAGTGACTATTAATAATGCAAGACTATAGATGCATATATATGGCCTAAAAAAATCCAAACCAAAAATAGTCTCAGCTATTGACAAAACTAAAACAAACACAACCCGAAGCACTCTGCTACCGATGTAGTAGCAACAGCAGCAGAAGACATTTAATGCTTCTAATTCACAATATGCAATGTAAATACAAATTGCAAGACAGTCCCTGGGCAGTCTAATTGGACAGACCAGAACCATTTTTCTCCTCCACAGCAAAATATGACTATCACCCTGCCAGTGCCTCTCTTCAGTGTGCCTGTGACTTACACTTGGCCCATGACTGCTGAAGAGGCAGAGGGGGTGATTGCTGCAACTTCACCAGAAATCCCTCTGCAGGTCAGACCGGCTGCAGTATGCACAGTCTCTTTATTTGCATGTGGCAGTGGCCATCCATTAAATAAATGTGCCCCACAGCTCCACTCCTGTGATATTCCTGATCTTCCTTTTCACAAAGTCATAGAATCATTCAGTTGGGAAAGATCTCTTGAGATCAGCAAGTCCAATAATTAACCCAGCATTGCCAAGTCCATCACAAAACCCAAGTGCCTTATTTACATGTCTCTTAAATGCCTCGGGGGATGGTGACTTCACCATTTCCTTGGGCAGTCTGTGCAGTGATTTACAACACTTCCAGAGAGTTTATTGGTGTGCTGTTAAATCCACCCAGAATTTCCTGTGGTAAAAAGAGCATTTGCCACCCCGGTCCCTGTCTCCTCTGAGACACTGTATTTTGCATGAATACAGACTCTTCTTTGGTCCTCTCTGGTAGAGTCCATGAACATCCTTCAGCTCTTCCTGCGCAAGCAATGATGAATTTTCTTTAGGAAACTCATTTTGATTTGAATTCAACTAAAATGTACTTATGAACACTCTCTATTACAGAATTAAGGGAAGATCTCAGCTACTAGTCCTGAGAATTTGAGTAATATGTCATGATGCTACTTTTCCATTTCTCTCTTTAGATGTGTGTTGAAGAAGACCAACTCAAAAATTCACCATAATGTATAAGTAACTTAAATGAAAAAGTAACATGAGCTCTACTGTACCTTGGCCCAGAAGAGCTGTGATGCACAAGGGTCATGCATTGCCCTTCAGAAGAGAAAGAAACTGAGCCATAAAGCAAACAGACTTTTTTTCTGTGCATTGGACACCCAGGGATCGCTCAGAATCTTGTCTGTGTCAAACAGTGTATGAAAGAATTTTAGAGTAAAACGGGCTCAGCACAGTCAATAGTGTCCTTTGTTCTCACAGGGGATTTGTTTGCTCTTTATCACATAATTTGTGTGACTAACTGAAAGCAAAAGGTGCATTTTCTTTCCTCGGTGGGATTTAGGGTAATAACATCATGATATTTTAAAATGTGTCAAGCTCCTTTAAAGGACAATACTGAACACCTTCTTTATTAAGGAAAAAAGAAGCAGGACAGAATATTTTCAAAATCCCAATTAATGCATCTTTCCAGTTTTTACAAGCCGTTCTACAAGTCTTCTGCATGAAAAAAAAATCATCTAATTCTTCTTTACTAATGGGTTTTCAATGGATTTAAGCTTGTCAGAGCAGACTAATGAGTATAAAAGACAGTATCAATAAAATTCCATGTGGGTAAAGCCTTGCTGAAATTGGCACAGCAACTAAATAGACAGTATATATATTTGCTTGCTGCCTTTTTTGGAAGGTATTTGCATGCTTCCAACTGTGTAGATAAATCTCTTCTTCTGTACCTAGTTATACCATCAGCAGATGTTGGAGCCTTCAGCTGTTTGGTATCACCCACCAGCTGGGACTTACAGCCCTTACAGCCCTGCCAAGGAAACAGTACGTGTGAGCACTCCCTAATCCACTTTCAGTGAAGCAGCCCTGCTAATACAAATTGCCTTTTCCAGCACTGAAATTAACCTGAATGACTGTGCACGAGAAGAATGGAGAATGGCTGTGTTTCTCACGTGGAGTTCTCCATCACAACAGTTGTGAGATTGGAAAAGGTAAGTTTAACTGCCTTTGCTGTCTGGAAAATGAACAGCCTAAAAGAAAAGGTGAGAGAGAAGCAGGAGAGTGAGAAAAAGGACAGAAAAGAAACATGAGGCACACAGATGGGAAGAGCAGTGATATGAGCCTGAGGAGAAAGGATGAGGCTCTGGCCAGGCTGTGCTCGAGCTAGCAGCAAGGACACTGCTCTGTTGGGCCTGTCTGTGCTGGGGACAAAGGACCTTGTGCATCTTTAATGACCAAACAATTAAATGATCTTTTAATCTGCCTTGTCTTCAACCACCCCAGGTGACCCTTCCTGGCAGCTGAAACTGAGCTACCAGAGTGTGAGCTGGGGCAGCTGGGCTGCTGGTACAGCCCCAATCTGCTGCTCCAGCTGCAGCAACACAAAGCCCAGCAGAAGGCAGGGCAGACACACCTGGGCATTCTCATACCTTGTACAGCCACACCTGAGGCTGCCAGTGCATTTAGGCACTGGGATGATGTAAAGCTGCTTTTAACCAGCACTAGGGAACCTTGAACGGCTTTCTGAAAAAAAGCATGGAGGAGAAGGAGAATTTATTATGTTTTTTAAAGCTGCTTGTTTTTTCTGTTATACACAGTCTTTTTCTATAGTCTGGAGAGTAAGCATGGGTTAATAATCTCCTTTAAGAACAGATTCATTACATAGTGTGATGTGACAGCCTCTGTAAAAATCCCCTCCTTTTCTGGGAAGGGAAGGATGAGCAAAAGGAGAATTAATTTTGTGTCCCTTTGCACATTATATCTACACTGTGATGTATTTGAAAATTCAGGGCACCACTAATGGAACTGACTATAGGTGGGATTTGCTTCTCTTCTGAAAAAGGAGGTGTGACAGCACACAGATTTTAACTTGACAGTTTCATCTACAATACTAATTCCAATGGAAGTGTCACAAAAAGAGAGTTCTGCAGTTCTGTGCTGCTGGAAAATGTACAGGTTTCCATTTCAGTAATATTTCCTTCTAAAAATAAGGTCTATTCATGCCAAGCATCT